TTATATCAAAATTATTGGTTTATCTTTAGAAATTAAAAAATTAACAAAAAAAAAAGCCGTAAGACAATTAACGATAAAACTTTTTTTTTACAGGTATGACAATTTATCGTCGAGCAGAAAGTAGAAGTTGTTTGTCAATCAAACAGCTGTAAAATTTTTGGTATACCATACAGAAAACCTAAACTATATCGCTTTTTTACACTAAGGTTTTTTAATAGATATTTTGAAGTGTTTAAGCTAACAAAAAATAAAGTAAAGTATTCTACGTTGTCATATTGTAAATTTAGTGTAGCATAATGAAGTGTGGATAGCTAAAAATGTTAAGCATCAGAATGATCAGGAAAAAAAAGATGGAATGAAATGTGAGCATTTTTAAAGAGTAAGAAGATGAATAAAACTTGAAGACCAATCTTTAGTAATCTGGCTGTCTTAAACCATTTTCATTATCATTCCAAGATGTTCAACTGAAGATGTCAAACTAATCGGCAAAAATACAACTGCTTATCACTTTTTTTTTTACTTTCTATTGATCTTAGAAAAAAAAGCATGAAAAAAACGTAATTTGCCACTCCAAAAGAACTTTTTGTTTTACTTAAGCATTTTACAGCAATTAAAACATTATCAATTTGAAAAACAATAAAAATATCATAAAATTTTTATTCTATCATCTAGCAACTCATTTATGTGATTTTCTTACAAAAACGTTAGTTGATTGGTTTTTGGTATTTGAAGTCAGTGTTAAACATTGACGAATAACACTGTACAGTTTATTTGCGCATAATGCTTAGTAAGATTTGGGCTCTGGTAAAGAACGATCGAAAACCGAAAGATAAGTTAATGAGGAAACTACGTTTCTTGATGCAAAAAATCTCAAGATCTAAAAAGAAGCACCTTATATGTGAACAATTTTTGTTTTATTTATTTCCTTTATCTGCATTTATTACTTATTCTCTAACTTTCTGTTTTCCAAAGAAAATTCATTATATTTTATAAAAATGTAAGAAAGTATCTTCAGTTTAATTTTGTAAAAAATAGTGATACTAAAAACAAAGTTGTTTATTTTTTGTAACTTAGATCTTCGTAATTCGTACTTGCCAAGGTATACCGCCGAAAACGAGCAACAACATAGCGTCTACCCACGCACATTTGGCTTTGAATCCTTTTACCTCACCGAGCCATCCGGCTGCATCTCGGGATATATCTTTAGTCTTATCCTGCAGCAGTGCTGCCGGCACACATACCCACTAAAGAATAAATGTAAAAAATTGAGCGATAGAACTTTTATTTATAATATTTTTCAGATAAATTTATCTGTAGATTAAACAGCATCTTCAATTGTACAGGTGCCATATTAACGTGACAATATGTTGTGATTTAATTATATCATTTTTGCAAGATGTCTTGTGGTTTAGGACAAATTTTTGAATAATACTTTAAAACCAATATTCTTCAACAACTTACAAGGCCAACAAAAATGCAGAACAACTGAACAACATCTGTGTATGCAACTGCATAGAGACCTCCAGTGAATGTATAAAATATTGCTATTAATGCCGAAATAATTACAGAGGCTGTCATATTTATTTGTAGTATCACCGAAAGAGTTGCTCCTGAAAATAAACCTTAGCCAATTTCTGACAAAAAATGATTCTTTTGCTGAATAACAACAGAGATTTCTTTTGTTTAATTTTTACTTCTTTGCTTGTTTTAAAAAACTGACTTCTGTTCTTTGAGGCCTCAAATTTAAAAGTTTAGACTATTTCGTTTAACTTTTAAGTTGGTTTATAAGATTTGTCAAACTTAGACGGCTTACTTTTACCCATTTATGTTCAGATGGAACTTAAAAACCAAAAACTTTTAGTAAGTATCTTTGACGTCTTTATTTCGTTAAGCTTTAGCTAGATCAATTTTGTCAACGGCACGGAAACATAGCTTTTACCTTCTTTTCGTTTTTTGATGAGGTAAACAGATAGACGCTATTACAGTCTTTCTCTGAAATTTACTGCACGTTCAAAAAAGTTTTTTTTTGCTAACAAATAGACGATGTGTTGCTGGTATGTTAACTTCAAAGATGAAGAAGAACTACTTAAAAATGAATAATCTGTTAGTAGTTAAAAACGACTGTTTAAATGGCAGTGTGTAATGTGATTGGAAAGTTGGCGCTTTACAGCAAACAGTCATCTGAAATCGTCAAACAGTGTCTGAAGACGGACAAAATAGCAGACATCTTGTAAAATCTAAGGAATTTCAAGAGTGGCGATATGCACATTTTCAAAACTTGCTTTCTGAACACTTCAAAACCATTCTGATTTTAGATAAAACTGTTACTAATGATTGAGAGGTACTACATAATCTTCAAAAACAATTTAGGCAATCGTTGTATGCCGATTAGCTTTTCATACAAGTGGCAAAACTAAAAGTTTACTAGTGTATAAGTGACCATCGTATTTTGGCGTGTTTGTAATGTAATCCACAACGGTTTTATGATTTCGATGGTTTATTACGATTGGAAACTATTGCTCAAGATTAGATCATTTGTGCAAAAAATGTCAAGAGATTTATGCTTGGCACTAAAGCAGAAGGTCATTCAGTTTCGTGAATCTTAAGAAAAATTGCTCCGAAGATAAGTCAAATTTATCCCACTTTCCAAGCTTTTCAGTAATCATTAACTACCTTTTTAAAAATATATTCTTTTTTGTAGTCAGTACATTTTTCAGCAATATGAGTTGAAAAAAAAATGTTCATGATATATACATCGTCTTATGCCAAAAAATTTTAGAGTTAGTTGAATATCAAAGCCACTGTTGAACTGGCAACCATCTTTTTTTGTCGCGACTGTGTCCAATTCAACACAAAGATTTGATTTCAAATAAAATCATGATCAGTTAAGTCAAACTGCCAAAAGAACAGAGAAATACTTTATGAACCAATCTAATATTTGCCTTCAATACAGATTTTTAATTTCTTTGCGCATAGCCTTTTTATATTCGAATTTTATAAGCAGCTTTAAGTGGCTGATAAAGGTATTAATTGTTTATAAATGAAAGTGATTCTTGAAAACACTCAAGTATTCTGAGAGCTACTCAAAATATCGAAGTGTTACGAAATAATCAGAAAGAAAAAGAGGAATTCCATCGGTTTACTTTAAAAAATTCTACATGAAAAACTACACTTACCGAGAGCGGATAGAATAGCTGCTGACCAAAAAACTTCTCCAAGAAGTGCTGGTATAAATAGCATACCGCCAACACGTTGCCCATACTTTAACTAAAAAAAATTAACATTAATTATAGGGGTCATTCAGTGCTAAGTTCCTACAGAAATAAAGCATTTGATTCTTGACACGTTTACTGGTATGTTTGACTGCCTCTATTAGAGTTTAGTGACCTCAACTGGCCATTTAATCTCTGCGATGAAAAAATTTTTTACAGTTTGAAAATGTGAAAGACTTATTTTTGTATCCTCTATAGCAAAGACAGTACTCAAGTGCGCTGTGAAAAAGTTGATGAAATGAAGGCCAAACCTGAAATGGGTCCAACATTGTTACGTATCCTTGCTCACGCATTTTTTTTGCAAACAGCAACCCGCCTACAACCAATGAAAGTGCGTAGCCAAAGGGTGCTTGACATTCCAGTAAACCACCTTTGTACAACGCTTCAGCAGTACCGTTGATATATGCACCACCTACCCAAGTTGCTGAAAATAGTCTTTTACAGCGTTAATTTCGTTTAAAACTGGTAGCAGTCTAGAAGGCTCAGAGTTTAGATCAATTCCCTCCCCCCTTTCACAAGCAATGTTCTTCTTTTTTTCACATATGCATTTCGTGATTCATTAGATTAATCTACAAGGAACTGCCACTGAGACTGCCAATACAGTCCCGTTCAAAGACATTTAACAAAATAAGAACCTTAAAAACCATACTGATTTGCTAACATGTAAGCAGTTTTGACACTTCAGTGACTCAAAAATTATTATATCTAGAGGTCCAAAAATTGCTTTGTGTAGTTTCAGTTTCGTATGCCGTAAACCACGCAGTACTTTCCGGTCAGTGAAACACGCAAAAATTTTTTAAGAAATTGATAACTGGTAAAATAAAATTTTGATAAATAAAGTAAACACATCAAAACTTCATGTCAAAGCTTCTCAGTTTTTTATGAATTACTAGAAACATGTGAACTGCAGTTATTACCAGTAAAGATACTTTTTTCTTCTTTGGAAATCTCAGATAAAGGTATTTTGAATAATTATTAGCACTCTCTGATCCTAAACGATACTTTCTTGCAGCAGTATTCTCAACAGCATTCTGAAAACCTCCGTAGATTACTTTACAAGAAATCAGACCATAACCGCTCCCTTGAGGTGTGGAGATCAGACTTAACCATAAGACTAGAAAATGCCCGATATCTACCTAATGCCTATCCTTTCTTCGGTTACCATACAATTCTAATCTTCTGTTACATATAACAACTAAACCCAAAAACGGACTAGTTTTGGAACGCTACGGAAGAATTCTGCAATGCTGAAAAAGCGTAATTCTTTGAGAATGGTGCGCTTATAAGGCTTTCATTGTTCCAGCTTTTTTTTTTTTTATCACAGGCAAATGCTATCTGACTGTTTCATAATTCTGAAAAAATGCTACAAAATAACTTTTTAAGTTTTAGTCGTAGCAGTTGCCTTTAATTTGTGGTTATCAAATAGAGACGGTATACCCACAGGGTTTTCATTTTTAATAACTTATTCTTGTTCACAAATTTTGCAAAGCATACTCGTAAGTCTTTTTGTGCCGGAAAAATTCTTTTAATATTCTGCCAATTTTTTAGCCGACTGAAGAACAGCGTTTTTTTTTTATTCTTAGGCGGAAAAGAATTGCCGAAAAATTGCATTTTGGCACTTTAGATAAGAAAGTTTGAAATACAGAAGTAGAAGTGAAAAAAAAAACAAGAACAGAATGTGTTGAGAAGAAAGGTAGACGAGGAACATTTTTTTAATATATCTTGTTGAATACCCTTATAAATTAGAGAGATTTGAAAATTGAAATTAATAAATTGGTCGATTTTTATAAATTAAGTTAACAACTAATTTAGTATTTAATGATTCTGAAGTGATTAAGACTGTTAAACTAAACAATTGCTGACTAGTCGATGAACTATTATAATTCAGCAATCATCTACCTCTCTCCATAAAATCAAGCGGTGCTTTCAGGTCAGATTAATACATCAGAAAACCGAGATATTAAAGTAGCTTTCGTTTTACTTGATTTCTCTTACTTTTTTTGGGTCTTCAATAAAATTATCAAAAAACTTAGTTGATTTAAGCATTATAAATCGGATTTTGATAGAAGGTCATTTTTTTTCATTTCAATTATGACACGTCACGGTGATTTAATTGCAGATGTTACTGCGCATATTCATGTGAGATTTAACAGCAGTCTGGTAGGTGTCATTGCAAATTTTACTAATAGACAATAACGCTACAGATATTTCTTTCTGGGTATTTTTTTCTACTTACCTATAACAAGGGAGAAATTATGGAAATCCAAGCTGCTGTTCTGCTTTATAATTATACAAACCACAAAAATATATAATATTTTTTGACCGCCTATAACAATTTCTGTTTTTATTAAGTTTTCGTGATTATAGCTTATAGATGTTTAGATATCATACTACTTTCTTCGTCTTCCTTCCACATAGCGAGAGGTGGGATGAGAGAAACAGCAGTCGGACTGCGACAAATATAACAGATTCATTAATGAGGGTGAGAACAGCAAGAATTATTTAAAGCAATGAGTTTTATTTATAATCTTTAAAATGTCTTGCTGATGACAGTAAATAAAATATCAAATAAAACAGGGCTTTTCGCTTTAAAAAAAAAAAATTTACAGCTAAAGTTTATGACATAAGTAGGTTTTTATTTTAATACTGAATAAATTATAGTTTTTAAAAGATGAATAAGATTGGTGTTGTCTGAGTTGAGTGTAAAGCCTCTCCATTTTTCTTTTCTCTTCAGCGCCATTCTCGTTACTATCCATCAATAAAGAAGTGACATCAGTTTTCGGAGAAGAATGATTTACACTTGAGATGGCAAAAAAAAAAAGTTCAAAAAATAAATCACTTACTTCTTTTCACTAAACTGTAAAATTATCAAATAATAAAAATTTAGAAGACAGAAAAATTCTTTAATTTAATCAAACATAAAATGGTTTATAGTCGTTTTTGCTTTCTCTTTTTTCTCCTTTCTTTTTTTTTTTTTGTCTTTAGGAAAAAATCAACAGGCTTAGTTTATTTCTTTACTTTAATTTCACTTTTCCCCTTTGCACTTTTTTTTTTCTCTGCTACTATTCAAACAAAATTTGGCACTTTAACTTTCTGAATAGTGCTGTCATCAGGGTCCGGTTTTTCTTTTGCCAGGCCGGCTAGAACAATCTTGTAAAACCTTCCATTTGCAAAAATTTGGAAATTTCATCTGTTTTTTCTAGGAAGTTTTATGTACGTTTAGTTTTGCAGGCATTCAGTTTGTCAGTTATAGCGGAAACAAGATGAAACAAGAGACAGTTTGAAAAAAACAAAAAATAGCCGACGCTAAATTTTTTTGAAAATCTGCGAATTCAATGACGCCGGCAGACAACATCAAAGCGCGTAGTTAATGAAACATCACGGTGAATGACAACTAATATGTATACTGTTTATCTTGCTTTTATGTTTCCTATCAGCTATAGTTTTTCGGTTTCGTTTTAATAACCGCTTTCAGATTATGAAGATAATTTGGCACTCAGTGCTGCTAGTCATGAGATTTTCAATCAAAACCATTGGGAAGAAATTTTAGCATCAAATAACTACACTATAGTTACCAGTCACAAAAACGGAGGTTTGCGTGTTGTTCGATCTACGTACCTAACCAGTTTAATCGATAATAAACAACAACTTGGCAGAAAAAGATTAATTTATTTAAAGTAAAAATTTTTCTTCAATACTAAAAAAGGATTTTTTTTAGGGCATTGTTTTAATGAGATGATAGCAAACACAAAAAGAGTTAAACTTTTTTTTTTTTCGGATCAGATTTCCATTTGTTTTGACGAGTTTTCAGAGTGTTAGTACACGAAATCGAAAAGAAAAAATAAGCTTTGTCTGGTAAAGCTTTTTCTGTTATCTTTCCTAACTTTATTTTTGGAGAGAAAAGGGATAAATCAGTACAATTTAAAAAAAAAAAACATATGTATCCTTGATCCCACCAGACTTTCTCGAATTTAATGACCACGACTGGTAATTCATTTTTTCATTTTTTTTTTTTACAATTCACAATATTTTTAGTGTCTTTTCTTTTCTTTTTCTTCTTTTATGTTTCAAATTTCAATAAGGGAAAAATGAAAGAAATTTTCTATAATTATTTTCCGCTTATTAGATATACATTCGTATAACAAATATCGGACATGATGTCTACCCAGCAAAACTATTAACGCGTGGGCATCAATGAATATGAATTTGGATACATGAAAAGATAAGGAATAACTGCATGTAGCTGTTTGGCAATAAAATTACCAAATGTAAATAGGTGTATTCTTTGTTGTAAATAGAAGTATTTATAATGTTTAGTACACAGTATGTATAGAACTCTTTCTTTCAATTTTTTGTCCATTCGTAGTTGTTACTCATTGATGAAAATTTTTGAATACCTTTCTTTTTTTTACTTCTGTTGGCATCTTTTTTTTTTTGTTATTTGCCCGCTTGAATTTTGAACAAGCTAGAAGAACGACATACTGAATAAGTAAGAGAAGAAGAATAGAAAGAAGACGAACAAGAAGAAGAAGAAGAAAAAAAAAAAAGAAGAAGCAGGAAACGAAGGAGAATTTCAAAGCCTTAGACAGAGTTTTCTTGTGCCTTCAATCAATTGTTTAACTTTTTCAACTAACATTTTCACTTGGCTTATGCTCAACCGATAAAGGCATCCAAAAATATGGCCTTAACAAAGTAACTGCTTTGAGCAAGCTGAAAAAACTTCCATTCTATGGCAGATAACTTCGTATTCTTACCCCTCTTTTCCCTTATTTGCTGTTCACCCCGCTTTTTTCGTCTTTTGTTTCCTCCCTTCTCCCAGCATCATCTCTAACAATGGATGATGTAGCGAAAAAAATTAGTTGACTGCATGAGACACCAACCACAACAACAGCAAAAAGTCATCTAAACATCCAACAACATTACAGCAAAGATATGTTGAAGTCAGGAATAACGAGAGCAAGAGGAAAAAAAGAATGAAAAATTTTATGTTTCACTTGTTAATCGTTAAATTTAAACTTTGAAAAACTATGTTTTTTTCGCTGCTATATCGCCTACTTATTTCTTCCTTGTCCGTGTATAAATTTTTATGCATGTTTTCATTGAAAAAAAAAAATGGAAACAAATACATAGAAGGAAAAACTCTCGCATATTGAGACAGATATTTTGCTTGTTCAGATACACATTCGATAAATTACAAATGCTTATTGTTTCAATATGCTTACATATGTATAAATCGTAAAAAGAGTGTTCTTTTTAACTTAGATACTACAATCTAATCTTTTTCAAAATTTTATTGCTCAAATTATCGCTTCATCTCATTCGTGAAGCTAACAAATAACAAAGGTTTTACTGTTCGTTGTTCGATTATATTACCGTACATTATTCAGTGAAATCTTTTTGTATCACCTTGAAATTACATAGAATCAATCAGCTAAAAGTTGGCCAACAAAGCGTCTAAACCTACTTAAACAGAGATTTATAAAACCTCTTCAGAATTTTACTACATAGTGCAAATAGTTTCAAGAGGATCATAAAACTACGGATTTTACGATCACGAAGTGCCAATACACATAAGAAGTTTTCCAAATTTTCATGAAACATTCACCTTGCACTTTTCCTGATAAGAGGCATCAACGTCATCTAATAAATTTTTAATGCAATTT